TGGAAGGGCCACAGAGGACATCAAATCCACACTCCTCATTGTACAGATAAAAATACCAAGGCCTGTGCAGGTCTAGTGACTTGCCTGAATTTTTACGAGTAGAACGAATCACAGATAGTATCTGAACCCAGGTTCTCTGACTCCACTGTATCATGCTTCCACCTAATTATTATTGCTGAGGGCCACCAGCAAGGGACCAGTTTGGGGCATGGAGGACCAGGTTAAATGTGTGAATATGTCAGATGTGTGGTAAACCTTAAAGGGCCACATAAAAGCCCCTCGAGTTGATGATGGCACCAATGACAATGGCAGGGGTGGGGGTGGGTTGAGGGTCACATGTAAACAACAAAACAATATCCACGCAGAAATGTGCAGGAGATTGGATGTCTAGAACATTACCATAGAGATGTCTAATTGAAAAAGAATGCAGCTCTGTCCCAAAGAAAGAGTGAGGGATAAGTCATCAATAGCCCATGTATTCCACTACTAGATATGAAATGCCAAGAGATCTGGAGAAAGGCTATGTTGGGCAGCTCTTTCTCCCTTTACCCGAGCCCCTGCCATAGAGGGTTTACGGGAGCATTCAGACAAGAGACGCACAAGATGAGAAGGGATGGACAGATGAGAATTTGTACAACATAGGTAAGATCAGAGGTCAATTAAAGCATGTTTAACATCAGTAAATCAAGCACAAATATCGTAAGAGTGGAAAAACCAGAATTTTGCTTTTCATGACAATGCCATCTAATCACTCACCCTATCCCGGCTCAAACCCTGGGGTCATTTTTGAATCTCCCTTCACTTTCCCCCTCTCCCTACCCCATCCAAATCTGTTTCAAAGTTCTGCCAATTCTATCTCAGCAGTATCTCTTCCATCTATACCATCGACTGGATCTTTTTTTTTAAAGAAACTCCAATTCCAATGAAAATGAGCCCCAAATTCTCTCTGCCTCCCAACCCCCAACATGAATGACGTCATATCATTACCATAAAGTGTCAAGTCTAGGTGTACTCAAACTGAATGTGGGGGGGAAAGTGATGCTGGCTAATGAAAATCTGGCCCCAGATCTACATATTGATAGAAGGCACGCAGCAAAAGTGAATCTGTGAAACCCCATCTATCCACCCACTCCTTGGCACATCTTGAGCATGTATGCAGCCCATCCCTGCTTCAGATTACCCTCTGTTCCCCCTTCTCTTCATTTTCAAGGTCTGACACTGCCCATGGACTCAGTTTATTTTTCGGCCTCTTGGCACTGGAAGCCTGCCTGCCGAATGATAAAAGTAGAATTCTCTGCTGTCGGCAGGGCAGCCTCTGGGGAAGAGGGCCTGAAACCCAAACTTATATAAAATCCTATCCTGTTTGCAAACACCATATTCCCTGGGCTGTTCCCTAATCGCATCCCATAAACCCCTGCCCAGCTTGAGAGTCCACTGCTCATCTAAACAAATGCCATAAGCCCTTTTATACTTTTACAACCATGTCAAAAAATAATATTGCCTGCCAATAGTGATGTGATTGGAGGGGCCTCCTCGGAGCTATAAAAGAAGCCTGGGTCTGTTATCAATTTCTCTAAGTGTATCTGGGGAATTATGGGTCGATTCAGTTCCAAGTTATAAATGACAACTCGAAAGCCGCAGAAGCTTTTGAAGCTAGGAGCTGATGACGACATTATCATCAAAGCCTGCTCGTCCCTGCTCTTGTGGGTTTTGAGGCCTATCAAGGAAAGTAGGGGGAAACAAGGCTGAGAAATGATCTCAGGATTTCTTCACACAGCGGCAGGTCAGATGGGCAGGCGAGCAAATGCTATTTTTAGGGACACACTTGGTACAGTTGGAGCCAAGACCTTTCTGGATGGGTGTCTGTTTCCTGTTTCCCTTCGTGATCAACTTCATGATCTAGACTGGTACAGAAGCCCAAGAACTGGGAGTCAGAGGACCCAGGTTCCAATCGCATTTGTGCCACGTACTATCTTCGTGCTCTGGGGCAAATTACTTCAAGTCTCTGGGCCTCTCTTTCCTCCTCTATAACATTAGGGGGCTGGACTAAATGACCTTGGAAATGCTTTCGAGCTCTCAGGGCTCACAGCAACATAACTTGAAGGCCTGCATACTCATCCATGAGGCAACTCAGGGTCCTTTTGGCCTCCGCTCAGATTTCAGACACAGGAACAAAACTTAGAAGCACCCTAAGTCTTAGCCTTTGCAGTAAAATGCAGCTGCGGCATTGTCTGGCCTGCACCTCTGGAAGAGGCAATGAGAAAGGAGGTCTTTCCATTTCCCAGAATTATAGAATTACAGGAATTTCTCAGTGGACCTCCAGGGCCAACTTGTCTCACTCAAGGCCACAAAGAATCCCAAAGAATCCTCTCTGTAACATATGGAAGTGATGCCCCAGGCTCTGCTTGGGTCTTTCAGTTCCCACCTTTAGGCCTCCCAGGAGAGAAAGCCCTCCACTTCCTAAAATACATATTCAACTTAAGGATGGTTCTTGTTGTTAGAGAACATTCCTTTCTTGACATCATGCCTCAGTCTACCTCTTTGTAATTTCCACCTATTCTTTCTAGTCCTGCCCTTTGTGGCCACACAAAGCAAGTTTAATCTTTTTTTTTTCTTTCCAAGAAATAGCCCTTTAAAGACTGGAAGACAAACTCTTTTCTTTTCCAGCTAAATATCCTCAGTTCCTTCAGCTCAGCTTTATAGTGTCCTTTCAAACAAGTATTTACTAAGCACTTACAATGTGCCAGATTTGCTGCTGGGATTGCAATGACAAAGAATGCTGTAAGGGCAATGTCTCTACTGGGCTACCTGATAATCCTGTAGGAATGTATCTTAACCATTCCAGGCTAAAGTGGATCTATACATAAACCTCAGAATTCTATGAAGCCGATATTGATTATAATACCTGGGAAACTCCCAAGGAACATTCAAAGTCTTCAAGTTATTTCAGTTGGCCCACACAAATCTCAGGGAGCTATGGTCATAGGCACAAGCTCTCCAAGGGCACTATCCCATGCATATCTCTGCTCCTCTGAGGAGCTCTGATTTGCCAAGGTCTGCAACAGTATTGATCAACATGTATACTGTACATGCAAGTGTCTTTTTATGGTGTAATATGCCTTAAGAGGTTAAATTTAGAGCCATGTCCAAGAAAGATATAGTCATTCAGAAGAGTTTTACAGGGGCTTACAGATTCTTTAGAATGTCTACTTCTTGGGGAGCTTAAAAGCACTAGATCAAGTTGGGTCTCTTCAAGATCACCACCATGTTTCCTGGAGCTCTCAAAAGAAAGTCTCCAGACCAGTGAGTACAAAACTGGAGCCTTCTCAATTGGTGGGTCCAATTTTGTCCAGCTTGGAACCCTCCCAAGCCAATGCTTCTCCCCAAATACGTCCTTTGCATCCCTGGCTCTCAGCATCCTTAGATTCCTTGAAAACCCAACTCTGGTGGCACCTGCCACGTAACAGCTTTTCCAATCCTGCTCTCTCTGAGCTCACATGCCCCGAGGTCAATCTGGGCATATGCTAGCCTCACTCCTGCCTCTTTAATTCCAAGAGAAAAGGAGATTTACAAGGAAAGGCCAGTTTGATTTTGATCCTTGTATCTACAGAACCTGACACAAAATGTTTTTCACATAGTAGATGCTTGGGAAATGTTGACTGGCCAGAATTCGAGCTCCCTTAAAATGACTGTTTGAGAAAGTAAGAGCAGAAAGCAATCAAACACATTCCCCCCCCCCCAAGAGATTATTCTTACTTATATCGAGCAGGAGTTTTTACAGTCCTAGGCAATGTGGTGCTCTGTCCTAGTAAGTTAGGATCAGCATGGAATGGAAAGCAGCCTGAGTACAGTACACCAAGCAAGTCTGTCCACTGGTGATCTATTTCAGAGACAACAGCACAGCAGCAACTCAGAATTTTGAGACAAGGGGAAGCCTCATGAAGACATTTTCAGGTCTTTGACGTGTTGTTGATGGTGTTGTTTAAATGGGGGTGGGATGCGGTTGGAAAAGCTCAGCTCAACTAGCTGTCCGGCACCTCCCCGTGTTTAATCTCACTAACTTGGCACTAAGTCCTTTTTCTTCCACGCTACTTAAGAATCACAAATACTATCTCTACATCTTGAGCCCCAGAACAAAGTCTTGTGACTCCCTTGGTTTGACTCTGAAAATGGGGAAGCAGGCCCCAGGATACAGTGTTGTTGCTAATCCACAAAGACTTCAGTGTTCTTTTTGAAGATGGAAACTGTTGGATATTCCTAAAGGAACCATCACCAATGTGGCCCTCTATAGATGCCCATTGACACCATGCTTGTGGTGGTCCCATTCAGTGTTGGTGTTGGCCTGGTCTCAACCAGAAAGTAAAGAATCAGAAAGCTAACATGGAGAATGGGGAGTCAAGGAGGGGAGTTACCTCTCCTTGCCAACACTACCTTCATTAAAAAGGATAGTATGACATGAAAATACTACATGGCTCAGCATTTTACTTTTTAGGGGGAAAATATTATTTTAAGTATTATTTCTAAGTTCTCAAATACTAGCTTTTTTCCTTCTCTTTCTAATGCCCAAATTAGTTTATTGGAGCACTTTAAATATGACCTGAGAACATACAGACTTTAAGAGATCCTTGTTTATACATCATATCAAAACAAATGTATCCTTAGGATATGGTATAAATATCCCAGGTCAAAAAGACTACATTAATTATTTAGGTTGAAGACCACAAAATGGCCCCGGGGGTTATCAAGCAGTGTTTCCCAGCATGCACCATACTCTGTGAAGCCCAGGCCATTTTCATCTGGAATATAATGGACTGAGGCCTTTTGGTTTCAGCTCTTTGCAAAGTGAGTTCAGCTGCCTAGATGTATTTAACTCTCTTCCGATGCTTCTAAAAGTCCAGAGGAGACTTCACCAAGAAAAAGCCATAGCCTGAATAGCAATGGAAGCTAGGTGGGAGGAGCTATGTTCCTTGTGAGGTGTAAGCACAAAAGCTCATCCTTACCCCAAGTCCACCACAAGGCAGCAAGGAGAAGGCCTTCTGAGACGTATCCCCTACGGAAGGAAAGAGAAGAAAGAACTGAACACAAGGTGCAAGGGTCAGTGCAGTATTTCCTTTTGGCACATGGTACTGAAGGTAAATTCCAACAAGCTGGAATCATGGGTTGAGAGCCAGAAGGGGCACCAGAGGCTATTCAGTCCAGTGCCCTAATATTTGCTGATGTGGAAGCTGAGGCTCAGACAGGTTAAATAAGTTCATCCAGGGGTGGGGAACTTGTGACCTTGAGGTTACATGTGGCCCTCTAGGTCCTCAAGTGTGGCCCTTTGACTGAATCCAAACTTCACAGAACAAATCACCTTAATAAAAGGATTAGTTCTGTGAAACTTGGACTCAGTCAGAAGGCCACATCCAAGAACCTAGAAGGCCACATGTGGCCTTGAGGCTGCAGGCTGCCATCAGTCAGGAGCCAGTCAGTGTCTGAAGCAGGATTTTAACTCATCTTCCTCACTGCATCCAGGGCTCTATCAGCTCTTGCCTGATTAGGTATTCTCTTTTCAGGATTGCACATGACAGTTTATTATTCATGCAGGTACTCCAGAGCCTGTGCATTGGAGAAGGCAGATTTTCATGCATAGAATTTCTGACTCCTACTTGTATATGCGAAATATACTTTACCATGATTTAAAAATTATCCACGCATCCAATTTGTGAATTTCAAGTTTTCAGTTTGCTTTAGAGTTCACTTTAAATAGCTCAACTATCCATGGAATGCCTTGCTTTGGCATGACATTTTAGGCCAGTGATACTGATCAAAGGATTGTCTCTTTCCATATGCTTCAAGACAACATTTTATGAAACATGCAGGCCCACTTTTCTGGTGCATATTTTAGAGGTGGCCGAGATCCATGTTTATTAAACACTCCCTCTAACTTTATTAGACTAAAAGGCATCAGGTAGAAAGAAGATCCAGTAGTAGCCACACAAAACTCAGTAACTAAGAACTTCTCATCTGACCCTGAGTCCAGTTTTGGTTTGTTTTCTTTTCTTTTTCCTTTGTTTACTTAAAGTCCAGAGATAACTGATTAGCTATGGGACCCTGAAGACTACTGAGGAAAGCCACCAGTTCTTCATCAGACAATGGGGATTCCTGAAGAATCTGCCAAGGGGATACAAGCTTTCACAGATAATAACAACAGTGATCTCATGGAAATATTTGGTATCACATGACCTGAGTTCAAATCCTTGATCTGCTCTCCAATTCCAATGATCTTGGGGAGAGGAAGGAAGGAAGAAGCTTTTATTAAATATTTACAATATGCCATGTACTATGCTAAGTGCTTCACAAATATAATTTCATTATTATCATTCCATGTCTCTGGGCCTCAGTTTTCTCCTCTGTAAAATAAAGTATTGAACCAAATCCCCTTCCAACCATAAATCTGTGATTCTGAATCCATGAATATGTGAAGCTTCAAGTGAGAGCTGATGATGGTGGACTGTGCTTTTTTTACTCAATGATCAGCCTAGCTAAGAATGAAGACATTCATCGACAAAATGTGGGCCATCGTCAGATGAATGATTTTTTAAAAAATGTTGGCTACAACAACTTGGAAGTTATGTATCTGTCAGTGAAGAAAGTACCCACATTAAAGGAATCACAGATCCTTGAAAGTATCCTCTAATGAACAGGAAGGCCCAGGGCATTTGCCTCTCCCACATGAAGAATCTATGTCAAATAGTGGTCACCTAGCCAATCAGTGATGGAATTGTACCGTGAATCCAGACTCCTAATTCCAACGCACTTCACTTGTCCCAGTACAGATCAATAGAAACAGCATAATCCAAATTAGAAACAGATCTGGGGGGGAGGGGGGAATTTTCATTCCACGTGAGCCAAGGCCTCAGTGAGGTTCAGTGACAGATAAGAAAGGCTATTTTGAAAATAATGAATTATCTGAGTAGATTTTTTAAAATGCAATTCCTAACAGATGCGAAATGGGGGGAAAGTTGGTCCAAGAAGGAGGTGGGGAAGACTATTGAGTTACCCCAATGAGATAATCCTAGTAAGGACTGGAATATTATTTGAAAGCCAGATGGGAAGCTGATAGAAATCTATTGGCTGACAATTTAAAATAGGAATATTGACACGAGCAACAAGACCCATGCAGTGTATTTCTGCACACCAAGAGATTTCCTAAAGCATTCCCTTGGTGGTCAGTAAGACTTTTCAAGGAATATACTGTAATAGGGAATAAGTATAAGAAACGTTACTTACTCTCACAAATAAAGGACTGAGAAGCACCATAAAGAATCAGGGGAAGTTTTTCTCCTTCAGTGATGTCTGCAAAATTAGACAAAAATCCATTCTTCTTTTAACCAGTATACACAATGGATTTTTAGAACTGATTTGGCTCAGTGGTGTGACACCATGCAGGCTGAGATCTACTCAGCCCTAGGGTGATGGAAATGTTGGCAGCCAAGCAGGAAAATGAACTCCAATATCAGCTTCCTTGGAGAGTAATTACAGGTGGCAATCTAGTATCCAAACCTGATGTTCTCAGGGGAAGGGGGAAAAACATTGATCAATCCTTCAATGGTCTATTCAGTCTCCCTGTTTCAGCCCTAAGTATATCCTGACTGTACTCACCAACTGAAGAATCATTGCCTTCCCAAAGCAATAATATCTCCTGTGTTTACTTATACAGAGGAAGGTTGTCTTCTTTACATGCCCAAAATATACATTATATATGTTGTGTGTGTATCTACCTTCAATTTGGCTTATATATAGCACCTTCAGGGAAGAGAGATATCATATTAGAGGGGTGTGACATGGGGATAATACTGCGGTGAATAGAATGTAAGTTCCAAAGTAAGAGACCTGATTTCAAACTAGATGGAAAATGACAATATTTTCCAGTGATATACGTGAAAAATTAAAAAAAAAACTTATAGTAAGAATAAGTGATAATAAATGGACAGCCTTGAGCATTAAATGAGTATGCATAGGATCACAGATAGAGAGTTGGAAAGGATCTCAGAGCCAATCCCTTCTCAGCTTTTCAGTTGAAGAGCCTGAGGTTAAGGGAAGTTAAATGACATACCCAAGGTAACAAAGGTGGTAAGTACCAGAGCCTCTGACTGCAGGGGAAATGCTTTTCCCATAGGACTATGCTATCTGTAGAATTTTGATTGTTTAAATAGAAAGAAGTTTTTCACTTAGAGAAAAAAGGAAACATTGGTTTCTGCAAAACTGACAAAAATCATGTGGCATCAGTTAAAGAATCTAGGATTCTTGTCACTATCATCAAGAGTGATGTTGCTTGAAAATGAGAAATCATTTACATTAACTTTTAGCAAAAAAAAAAAGGTGAGAGAAGGAACTTTAAAAGCAAAAACAAAAAACAAAACCCAAAAACTTTTAACAACATTTTACTCTGAACCTTTCTCTGATTTTCCCTACTACAGATCTTCCTGGGATATCAGAGTATGATCTAATGAAATGGTCCAATAGCATATCTTCATAATTGAATCCTGTGACCCCTGAAAACTATTGTTTTCTGAATACCACTTAAAAATTCAATTCTACTTTAGTGACCAAAGATTTTATTTATTTGCAAATGATTCTTCTTGTTGCTTGTTCTATGACACATATCGGCATATAGATACATCCATCTGCCCCCTTGAGTTACTTATATAACTTTAATAAGCTCATAGGTTTAGGGGGAAGTCAAACAGTTCTACCTTTTCTTCTTACAGATAAGGAAACTGAGGCCCACAGAGCAGAAGTGACTTTCACAAGGTCACATAGATAATAAAGAATAGGGAGGTTCCTTATTCTACTTTTGGCATGTCAGCTAACTCCAAGAACAATGCCAGAAAAGTGTTCGTTTTAAAAATCAGTTTCATGCGTTTCTTAAAAATTATCTATTTAGTCACCAGTTGTACTTTCATAAAGGCACACCTTTTAAAATGTTTATTTTATTTTTCATTTATGAAATAAAACAAGCATTTCCATAACATTAGATTTTTTTTTAAAGATGATTGCACATGAAACTGTAAATCTATTATGTAAAAGAGACAACTACATTAACATTTATGCTTAACCTCCAATCTCCTTCTGGGCATATTTTTTTTTCCTTTAAAAATTGAAAGCGGTATTTTCTGTTTTCGAACTTCTCACAGGGCTCATACAAATCAGTACAAGCTGGCCCCAATGATCTGGATGTCCTTCATCCATCTCTCCCCAATCTGACAGAGTCTAACTCCTGGCCTGTGATTGGTTGGGTTGAGAAGTAGAAAGAATACAAGTTGTGGTAGTGGTTGGGACTCTGTTGCAATCTGCCCTTCATTTAAAAGAAAACAGTAACGGCCAGTCGTAAGCATGTAGCTCCCTTTCATAGCCCAACAGTATTAATCCAGCAGAATTTAGCCACAGTTTGGATGATTTCTCCAGTTGATTTATTGGTATCATGTATTATTGTCTAAATGTAAAGCTATTAATTTCCAAGATTCTACAACAAAGAAGGCACTTTGGAGAAAGCCACACCTAGAGTGTGGCAAATGAAACTTTGCCCAAGATGCTAAAATGCAGACGATTCAAAACATCAACCCATGCACTCCAAAACTAGGAGCTGCTAATTCTACTTCCTGTTCAACTGACCACTTCATTACCTCTGTTGCAATTTTTGCATCATGAATTACAAAATTGATTTGAGGTTGCCTTTCACGCTGTCTGTCCTGGTCAGGACACAGTGAGTGCTACTTTCCTTAATGTGTTTCAAGCAGTCCTAGGAGTCAACGTGGCCAGTTAACTCTCTGGCCTTAGGTATCCCACACAGTTCAGGGAATGGGGGTGTGTTGTCTTTACAAAGGGGGTAAATGTCTCTGCTGATTAGGCCACATAAATTTAGCTTCATTCCTATACGTACAGATGAATAGGTCATAAGAAGAAGTTTTTAATCTTTGAATTTAATAATGCCTGACTTCCAAACAACACTCCACCAAAATTTCCCCTGAAATGCTAACTTGAGGGCTACCACCCAATTCAACAAAGATTAGGATACCTGTACAACAGAGTGGTTATTGATTTTCCTTGTTCTTATACAGAGAGATGCCTGGTTTTCAATATCAGGGTCCTAGGTTCCCTTTAGAAAAACTCAGGCCAAGAGAGAAGAGGCGGAGCCAAGATGGCAGAGTGAAAGCAGTGACTTGCTTGAGCTCTCCCCCAAAGCCCTCCAAATACCTGTAAAAAATGGCTCTACACAAATTGTAGAGCGGTAGAATGCACAAAAAGACAGTGAAACAAATTTCCAGCCCAAGACAACCTGGATGGTTGATTGGAAAGGTCTATTGTGCCAGGCTGGGAGAGGAAAACAGCTCAGCATGGGTGTGCAGGCAAAGACCAGACCTCAGTGAATCTGGAGCAGGCCGCAGAGGATTGAATCAGGGGCAGCTGTCGTGGATTCTAGATTTTTCAAACCACAAATGCCAAAGACAACTTAGAAGGTCAGTAGGAAAAGGCTGTGATTGTGGTGAGAGAGAAGCTTGGTCCCAGCCCCAGTCTCAGTGCAGCACCAGGGCGGCAGCTGCTTCCCACAGGTTGGCCCACAGATAGAAGGGTATGAGTGACTGATCAGAGGAAGATTGCAGGTGCTGAGGCAGGAATCTCTTGCTCTGCCCATGTTTGGATCTGGGTCACAGTTCTGGGTCCTGGGGCAAGGAGGAGCATTGGTGTGGTGGAGTTTGTAGTGGCCGTAAAACGCAAATGCTCCTCACAGTCCCAAGGCAGAAAAGAGTGCTTGTGGTCACTCATAGATCAGAGCACAGGACAGGAGTAAACAATTCAACCTTCATCATACCACCTTGGAAGAACTAAAAATTTACAGGTCCCTAGAAATCTCTTTGAAAACAGCTGCACTAAACCCCTAAAGCGTGGGACAGTACATTCTCCACATTGGAAGCAGATGCCTACCTTAACAAAGAGTTTAAAAGTCAAGGAATTGGCTGGCAACATAGGCAAACTGCACAAAAAAGTCAGACCATAGAATCTTTCTTTGGTAACAAAGAAGATCAAAACACACAACCAGAAGAAGACAACGAAGTCAAAGTTCCTATATCCAAAGCCTCCAAGAAAAATATGAATCAGTACTGGGCCATGGAAGAGCTCAAAAAGGATTTTGAGAAGCAAGTAAGAGAAGTAGAAGAAAAGCTAGGAAGAGAAATGAGAGTGATGCGAGAAAATCATGAAAAACAAGTCAACAGCTTGCTAAAGGACACCCAAAAAATACTGAAGAAAATAACACCTTAGAAAATTAGCCTAACCCAAATGGCAAAAGAGGTCCAAAAAGCCAATGAGGAGAAGAATACCACAAAAAGCAGAATTGGCCAAATGGAAAAGGAAGTCCAAAAGCTTACTGGAGAAAATTCTTCCTTAAAAATGAGAATGGAGCAAATGGAAGCTAGTGATTTTATGAGAAATCAAGCCATTGTAAAACAAAACCATAATAATGAAATAATAGAAGACAATGTGAAATATCTCATAGCAAAAAAACAACTGACCTGGAAAATAGATCCAGGAGAGAGAATTTAGAAATACTCAGGCCAAATTTACTCAATTCTGTTTTAGAATGGTAGCGAATGACAGTGCTGAGGCGACCCAATAGTTTGAGTGGTTGTTTTAAAGTGAATCCATATGAGGATTCCAAACAACTGGATCACTTGAACATTTCAAATTTTGGATCCTTCAGAAACTACTGTGATTTTGATTGCCAACCACTATTATTCAATACTTATTTGGTTAAGACATAATTAATATTATTAATCAATCAATAAGGAGGACCGTGGAATAGTGGCTAGTGAGCCAGCTTCATTATTATGAATACCTGGTTGCAAGCCCCTTAACCTCTTAGGAACTACAGGCATCTCTGTATGTTCTAAGTCTCAGACAAGTAGCACATATGCATTGGTGGAGGAAGTTTCTACATTGGGAACTCAGAGACATGCTGCAATCACAGATCCAGACCCCTCTTTCCCCAAAAAGGAATCAAGAGTGACTTTATAGTCTTAGATGTTGGCATACTTCCCATGTTCATTACGTTTTCACATTAGAAAGAAATCAAATATTTTCATCCCACGTTCAAGATGCAGTGAGGTACATACCACATAGAATTTAGAACCAAATCAAATTGGACCTATTTGTGGTGCCATCTATCAGATAAGAGGAATGTGTCTCCCTAATACTTTTTCTCAGTCATTCCCTGAGATATTTTACTTTTGTAAATATATTAGGTATTCCATGTGACATACAACACTTTGAAAAGCAATTTTAGTAAATAATATAAAACATATTGGGTAGTTTTGTTGTTGTTTGCAAGGCTTTTTTGTGGGGAAGGGCAAATCTATGATCTCTTTAGTGTGAGGTACTCCCAGTGTGAACATTCCCTTCACTGATGCAGATCAAAAGTTGGTCTTATCTGCATTCTTAGATAGCACCCAGTGTCTGAACAACACATTATGCTTATGAGGAAAAAAAATTTAAACCCCTCCTTATGTGCCAAGGGATTTTTTTTTCTTTCTTCCTTTCCTCCTTTCCTTTTTTCTTTCTCTCTTTCCTTCTCTCTTTTTCTCTTCCTTCCTTCCTTCCTTCCTTCCTTCCTTCCTTCCTTCCTTCCTTCCTTCCTTCCTTCCTTCCTTCCTTCCTTCCTTCCTTCCTTCCTTCCTTCCTTCTTTTCTTTCTCATTCTGTTCTGTTTTGTTTTGCTTTTTCCCAGTGAGAAAGATGAAATAATTGAAAGAAACAAAATGAAGCCTAAAGGGAAAAAAAGATGAATCTAGAAGCCACACTGTCAGCGGACCCTTGGAAGGCTCAGAAATATGAGCAAAAGAGAAGATTCCCCCATCACCATTATCCAAGGCTACAAGTCCATAATTAAATCAGGCTGTGCAAATCCTATCAAAGTAAAAGTTACCAAATAGCTCTTTAAAAAAGTGAATATGAGGGAACGTTCTTGTCAGATTCCAAACCCTGCATTTGATTCATCTCCATTGGCTTCCACTATAACATTCTCTCTCCCTCTACTCAGCAACGCTGCTGGAAAAGCTGATTTTTGGCCCCACTCTTTGCCAAGTATTTGACAATGACAACCGCAATGACTAATGACAAGGCTGGAAGGTGCTGTTCTCAGTAGTACATACCTCGGAGCATCCTGGGGTCCAGCTTCTGTCTGCTCAAGGGGTCGGTGCCATAGAGAAGAGAATGATGGTCAGAATGGACCAGGTGTAATTCTTCTAGAGAAGCTTTTCGACCTTGGATCCGCTACAAGAAAACAAGAGAGGCTGGTGGGATTTCAGTGACACGATGCACAAGAACATAAGACCCTAAAGAGTAAGGTTAATTATAGGACGGAGGTGCAGCAGGTAAGAATGGGGCACTATTCTGCTTATTAAAGTACAATAATAGCATATGGGAAAAATAAAATAATAATAATCGCAATGGTAGCAAGAGGAATTATATAGCACTTTAAGATGCAGAAAGTGCTTTACGTATGTTATCTCATTTGATTTAAAAATGAATGCAAAGGTCCTGGACTTTAATGCTGTTTAAACTTAAGGGGGTGAGCTAATAAAAGCCAGTTTCCTGGTAAGGAAAAAAAAACATCATACAAAAAGTGATCAGCTTCTTACTCTATGAACTTTGTCATTGTCATCGTCATCATCATCACTATAGTAATTATGCAGTGCTGTAATGTTTCCACAATGCTTTATATCAGTTACCTAATTTGGTTTTCATTGAAACCCTCAGTGACAGGTGCTCGCATTACCCCCATGTTACAGATGAGGAGAATGAGGCTGAGAAATGTTCAACGACTTACTAAGAATCATACAACTAGATAGTGTCTGAAGTAGGATTCAAACACACTTGAGTCCAAGCTCCATTTTTGATCAGTATCAGTACACCACCTAGCTGCCTTCAACATGAAGACCACATGGGCTACTGGTTGGGGGACCCATTCATGAATTAAGACCCTGTTTTGTATAACCATCATCCACCCTGATCTGAGATCCCCCTACCTTCTTTAGAGGCTCTAATGAATATGAGTGAAGGACAAATTTCACCAATTGTACAAGTTGGTTTTAATGCTGTGCATTTGTCTCCCAGCTTGGACCTAAGCTCAATAGACAGCTTAACATCATTGAGGCAGAGAACTAATCAATTACTTTACTTCAAACTAGACATCAATTAATAACATGAAAACATTTTCCCCTTGTTTGTGGCCATCATCCTCTCTTCTGTCACATTATCAGACAGATCATTGAGTCATAGCTAGAAAGGACCACAGTGGTCATCTAATATGGTTTACAGATGAGGAAACTGAGGTCCAGAGCCCAAGGTAACACATTTGTAACTACCAGAGCTAGGATTCGAATCCAGGGCTTCTGATGGTAAAGCCAGCATTATTTCTCCTACACCATGCAGTTTCCTCTTGCTGTACATTTTCTGTAGAAGCTGATCTGGTGTATATAACAGAAATTGATGTATCCTCTGAGATTTGGGTGCCGAGAACATTTCACTTTACAAGTAGGAAACACTGGACCATATGCATAGAGGAGTGAAAGGACCCCCAGCTTGGGCCTCAGAAGTCTGGGTCCTACATTCAAGGTTTGGTTCTGCTCCCCACACTGCATTACCTTAGACAGGTCACTTTCTCCTGACTCTCTGAGATGGCGGTACTAGCTCAGGGGATCTTTTTCTGGTAGGGTCAGAACTTGGATGGGGAAAAAATACATCTTTATTTTTCACTATATTTTAATTGAGATTTTTGCTAATCTCTAACCATTTGCTTCCATTCTGATTAAAAAAAAAACACAACATTATTATAAGAAAGGGTCCATAGGTACCATCAGCCTGTCCAAAGGCTGTGGCTCAGAAAAAGTTAAGAATCCCTGGACTAGATGGTCTCTAAATTCCCATGATCCTCCTGTTTTAATAAGAGCTGGCAGTGAAACCTAGAGACACGATGAGCAAGCAAACGGTCCCCTTGTGCCTGAATAGCAGACAGGGCTCATTTAGAGACTGAGTAACACTCTGTCCCCTCCCAGAATCAGGGGGAGGGGGTCCAGTGTGAGCCTCTCTGAACTAAAATAAACTCTTCTCATTTCGGGGAGATAAAGCCAAGAAATGGGGTGATCCTTGGACAGGGGACACGGCTGGGAGAGAGGATGCTGAGAGACAGTACTGACAGTGACTGATGAATCCCGATGGGATGGGGCACAGTCAGGGCAGCAGGAAGAGGTGTATTCACAAGGGCCAGAAACTGAGACTCCTTTGGAACCCAGGCAAAGATATTTCAGTCTTTGACTATTCAAGTAAAAATGAAAATCATTTTATGGGAAAAATGAAGATATTTGCTAGTATCACTGTGACTCACCCTAATGGGACCATTTGTACTTCTAGAAAAATAAAAAATATATTTCAGATAAATATTTCCTCAAACAATTGTAATTCTTAAGCCAAGGAATGCTGAGAAGCCAGCAAAGGCCAGGGAGGATCGGGCCAAGATCTGGCCAGGATGAGCTGCCATGCTAGATTGCAGAGGTCAAATGGAGGACACACACTTTTCATTAGAACCATCTACACTCCCATGCTCACCAGAGCACTGCCAGTCCTTCAGTTTAATATAGATTGTAAATAACCAGCTGAGCTCAGAAAGTATCACCATTTCCTTCAAGAAACTCTGAATCTTTAATACCACAGTGAGATTTTTTTTATTTTTAATTTGGTACAGGTTATAGAGTGCTGGGCCTGGAGTCAGGAAGACCTACCTTTCAATTCAGCCTCAGAAACTTAATAGCTATGTGACCCTGGGCAAGCCATTTAATTTATCTGTGCCTCAGTATCCTTGTATGTAAAAAGTGGATAATAAAAGCATTATCTGTAATGGGAATAAGCTAGCAGTCTTTTCAAAAAGATCAGGGATGAAACAAGGATATCTATTATTACCACCTTTATTCAATATTGTTCTAAAATTGCAAGGAAATGGAAGGTATTAGAATAAGGGAGGAGGAAACAAAACTATTACTCTCTGCAGATGATATGATGGTATACTTAAGAATTCTAGAGAGTAAGCTAAAAAACCAGTTGAAATAATTAACAGTTTCAGCAAATTGCAAAATATAATATAGACCCACATAAATCCTCAGCATTTCTATAATTACCAACCAAGTCTAGCAGGAAGAGATAGAAAGAGAAATTCCACTTAAGATGACTGGAAACAATATGAAATACTCTGGAGTCTACCTGCCAAGACAAAACCAGGTACTACATGAATACAACGACAAACTGCTTTTCATGCAAATAAAGTCAGCTCTAAATGACTGCAGAAATATTAATTCCTCAGGAGTAGACACAGTCAACATAATAAAAAGGACAATTCTACCTAAAATAATTTGCTTATTCAGTGCCTTACCAATGAAAATACCAAAAACAAAAAATTATAAAGCTAGAAAAAAAACCAAAATTTGTCTGGAAGAACAAAAGGTCAAGAATGTAAAGGGAATCAATGAAAAAAAAAGTGAAGGAAGGTGGCTTATCAATACTAGATGTCAAACTGTATTACAAAGTGGTAATCATCAACATAATTTAGTACTGCCTAAGAAATAGAGTGGTGGATCAATGGAATAGATTAAGGACACAAGAAACAGTAGGAAATGACCATAGTGTTCTAGTGGTCGATAAACCCCAAAATCCCAGCTCTGGGGACAAGAACTCACTATTTGACAAAAAACTGCTGGGAAAATTGAAAAGCAGTTTGTCAGGAACTAGATATAGATCAACATCTCAGACTGCACATCAAGATAAAGTCAAAATGGCCACATGATATAAAGGATGTTATCATAAGCAAATCACCATCAGATCTATTGATAAGGGAAGAATTTATGAGCAAACAATTTATAGAGAGCATTAAAGGATGTGAAATGGATAACTTTGATTACATTTAATTAAAACATTTTTGCAGAAACAAAAATAATGCAGGCAAGATTAAAAGGAAAATGGATTTTTTTTTTTTTTGGTAGCAAGGGGATCTCTGATAAAGGCCTCATTTCTCTAATATATAGAGAATTTGGTCCAAATTTATAAGAATACATGTCATGCCCCAATTGATAAACTGTCAAGGGATATAAACAATTTTCAGAAGAAGGAAACAACCAAAACTATCTATAGTGTTTTGAAAAAAATGTTCCAAATCACTATTGATCAGAGAAATGAAAATTAAAACAACTCTGAGGTACCGCCTCAAACCTATCAGATTGACTACTAGAACAGAAAGGGAAAATGACAAATGTGGGAGGTATTATAGAAAAATTGGGACACTATTGTACTGTTCATGGGGTTGTGAACTGATTTAACCATTCTGGAGAACAATCTGGAACTATGCCAAAGGTACTTAAAACTGTGCATATGCTTTGACCCAACAATGCCCCTATTAGGACTACTCCAAAGACATCAAATAAAAAGGAAAATATTTATGAAAATTATTTTAAATATAATTATGTTTAATCATTAAATATTTAATAATTAATAATTATGATAAGACACTTAATATTTAAAAATTATTTAATATATTATATTCTATATAATATTATAAATATTTACAAAAATATCTGTAGTGGCTTTTTTTGTGGTGGGAAAAAATTGGAAATTCAGGGAATACCTATCAATTGGAGAATGACTGAAGAAGTTCTGTTGTATGATTGTAATGGATTACTATTACGCAATAAAAAATGATGAGCAGGAGAGTTTTAGAAAAATCTGGGAAGACTTACATGAACTGATGCAGATAGAAGTGAGCAGAACCAGGAAATCATTGTATACAATAGCAACAGTATTGTACAATCATAAACTGTGAATAACTCAGCTATTCTGAACAATATAATGATCCAAGACAATTCTGAAGAACTTATGATAAAAAATGCTATCCACCAGAGACTGAGGGAGTCTGACTGCAGATAAAAGAACACTTTTTTTTTATTTTATTTTTCTTTTTTTTCCGTCTTTTTTTTTTAACATGACAAATACAGAAATTTGTTTTGCATGACTTCACATGTATAATCTATATTAAACTGCTTGCCTTCTCAAGGTGGGGGGAGGAAAGAGAAAAAGGAAGAAAAATTTGGAACTAAAAAAACCCCAAATGTTAATATTTTTATATATAATTGAGAAGAAATAAAATATGAGATACACAAAAAAATAATAGCTTACTAAGTTGTTGTGAGGATCAAAAGAGATAATTTTTGTAAAGCTCTTAGCACACTGCC